AATGTTGTCCTTTGGTTCTATACAGTCTCAGTGTATGAAGGTTTCCTTCTTGAGAATGTTGTCCTTTGGTTCTACACAGTCTCAGTGTATGAAGGTTTCCTTCTTGAGAATGTTGTCCTTTGGTTCTACACTGTCTCAGTGTATAAAGGTTTCCTTCTTGAGAATGTTATACTTTGGTTCTACACAGTCTCAGTGTATGAAGGTTTCCTTCTTGAGAATGTTATACTTTGGTTCTACACTGTCTCAGTGTATGAAGGTTTCCTTCTTGAGAATGTTCAACTTTAGTCCTACACAGTTTTGTTTTATGAAGGTTTTATTTAGAAAGGGTTTTTATATGCTCAAGCTGTAACCTTCCCTGATGGTATTCCACTGTTGAAACATCAGAAAATTGCCAGAAGCCAATTATGAATGTGTTAAACATGGTGCTGCAACTCGTATCAGTGACCAACTCATTGCATGAGTGTACGAAAATCATTCAAATAAAATGCAATTAATTTTTTGTGTACGATGCTGAAGTTGGCAAAGTATGAATTATTAGAGTAGCAAATAATGATTATGACTTGTCTTCTTTTTTTTTTTTCTCACAGAAATGTAGGTGTTTGAATTATTAGTCCTATTGTGACTATAAATAATGCTTCACCAATAAGTTCAACAGTGTAACACCTGGTGACGGTGCAAAATTCGTTGTTAGTGGCCTACAGTAAAGTGTTGGATTTGCAAGCTTTTTTTTTCCTTTTTTCACCAAAATGCCAAAAAAAGGGGAATTTTGTGGAAGTGTTGAAAAGTATTGAAAGTATTCATGACACTTTTATTACAAGACAAAATTATCTTTATTGTGATTCCCTCATTAGCACATGGTCATTGATAGAATTATGTATCTGATTGTTCAAATACTTGTGTCTGATTTGCAGATACTGTAGTAGTAACTTAAGCATATAACCCAGTTACAGGCTGATTAACTTTCACCAAACTTATTACAACACCTAATCATTGATTCAAGATAGGACAGGGGCATCTAACCTTGGTTTGAATGATGAAAGGTATTGATAAAGTGAAATAACCAGTTATATAGAAAAATATATACAGAACATGGGATGCCCTTTGTTTCTGTTGAAGTAAAATCTAAGAATTATAATGTGGAGTTAAATGAATATATTTCATTAAGTTATAAAGCTTAGTTTTTAAATGCATATTATTTTGAAGTCTACTTCTCGGTGAATGACTTAACTCATGTTTTTATAATTTCTTAAGGTGTACAATGAAAGATACACATCATATTGTGAAGTATTAATGATGTCCAGTGCCCCTTTCAAATCATATTGTAAAGTTTTAGTAATGCCCACTACCTGATTCGAAACATATTTTGAAGTTTTAGTGTTGTTCAGTGCCCATATCAAATCATGTTGTAAAGTTTTAGTAATGCCCACTACCTGATTCGAAACATATTGTGAAGTTTTAGTGTTGTTCAGTGCCCATATCAAATCATGTTGTGAAATGTTAGTCGTTTCCAGTGCCACATACAAAATATTAATGTGAATCTTTCGTGATATCCTGTTGTCAATCCAAATAATTGTGGAACATTAGTGATTTCCAGTGCCCGATTCAGATCATATTGTTAAGTGTTAGTGATATCTAGTTCCCGGTGCAAATCGTGTTGTGAATATTTATTGATGTCCAGTACCCGATTCAAATCGTCTTTTGAAATGGTAGTGCTTGATTTAAATCTTATTTTGAACCGTTAGTAAGGTCTACTGCCCGACTCAAATCATGTTGTGAATCGTAAGTTACTTCTATCCAGCTATTGATTCAAATCATATTGTAAAACATTAGGGATGCCCAATTCAATTCTTGTGGTATAGGATAGTGATATCCAGAATCCGAAACAGATATTTGTTAATCGTTAGTGAAGCCCTTTGTTTGAATCAAGTCATGTCAAGCGTTAGTAATATCTAGTGACAGATCTAACTTATATAAAAGCCAGTGTGTGTCACGTCACGCTTCATTTCTCGAAGTAGGCGGAGTCATAAAAGCCAAAATGTATTTATCCAGATAGAATAGTTCGATTACTGTCTGTCCATTACGATTTTGATGATGGGGTGCAATGAGGCTGTGAGGAGGGGCGCCGTGAAACCTTATGAGTGTAGTGTGTTTTGGTATAATAAGCCTAAAGTAAAGACGTAGTGTGGGATCACCTAGCCAAGTGCATAAAATTTATCATGAAAATATAAATTCAATTATAAACTTAAATAGTTTCTGAATTAAGCTATCTTCTGTTATATCACCAGCGTTTTTAATATAAAACAAACCACTTTAATCAACGGAGACTCTTAAATTAAGAAGCCAACAAATACTTTTCTAGTTTTGTTGTCTATGCATTTCATTTTATACTTTACGTACATAGAGTAACAGCAATCTTCTTCTTCTGTAGCTTTTCCCGTATCTAAACGGGGTCGCTATTTTTGACAGCACGTTTCCACTCTCCTCG